AACTGTAATAAAACCAGCACCTGTGCCTACAGCTGTACCTAGTATGTTCTATAATGCTCTTCGTATATCTCGTCCGACATAGATCTTTCAGAGTATTACTACACCGATCCATGAATCTTTTATAATTATTTTCTACCGATCAGAATCGATGAAAATGTAAAAGCAGCAATACTTCAAAATATCCCTCATAAAAGTTGAAGGTTTAGTGACAAACACGAGTTTGAATTTCCAGGTAATTTTGAATAACTATTGTTTCTGATACTGTCAATGTGGCATATCGCGAATGTTTAGAATTCTAGTTCTATTGTTATCCTTGCATATTCGTTCTAGCTCTTATGTGATTGTTATAAGCATTTAAGAGATTATTTTTATATTCAGTGAATAAAAACCAATTATATTTTGCGTAAGTTATTTTAAATTTTTTCTTATAGAAACTACCCAATGTTTGAAACCAGTATGTGTGGCATATTTGAGAAAATTGAAATTAAACATAAAATACTTCAATAGAAAACATAATAAGTGCTACTGTCCATCATGTTATGATTGCACACAACCAGATGTTTTGACAGCCGCCGGCTCTAAATATACTGTACCAAGAGGACTGGTAGCTTTCGGCATTCAAGTAGATAATGCATTCGCTGCCAGTAACAAAATATTTGATAATTGGTATACAACTTTCTATGGAACATCCAAAGATAAACTTGAGGATATCATTCGCAATCGTTTTGTACCATTTCCTGGTGATCACCTTCTGTCTGGTGGAACATTTGTTCTTAATTTACGAGATCAAAAGCACATTTATACATCACCTTCGATAAATTATGCATCTCTGGAGCATGTATGTCCTATTGACACTATGACTATCGATGGCACCTCCTACGATTTCCAAGTTGTTCTTCAATGTAAACAAAATCCAGCTGACGTCCAAAAGCTTCGAAGTGGTAAACCTAATGTTTGTAAATATCTTCCGGATGCTGATGTTCAATGGAGAACTGATCAACGATCATCCGTCGTACCAATCAGTCTTTTGATTTGCGCTAAAAAACGTTGAACTAGATGAAGTTAGTCTCATTCAAATACAGTTGACATTTTGTACTGTATGCTATAGATTAATGTTATGTTCGATCCAATATTTGTTTTTTTAAATAAAATTAAATGGATCGAGTTTAATTTTATGGTTTCTAACCGTAAAAGTACGTAAAGATGTACATGTACAATGGTTCAGTGCAAGATCGTTTTATCATTCAATTTTATATATTCTCAGTCAACTTTCATTTTAAAAAATTCTTCTCCATGTAACGGATGGTGTGGGTGTGGGTGTGAGTGTGGGTCTGTTCTTTATATTCACATCCGCACCCACCCACACCCCATGTTAATATGTTATATATGTATCTTTTTTATTTAGGGACAATATAATCAATCGGTAGAAAAAACATCGAAGTTTTCTATGAAATTATGGCACAAATATGACCTTAATTATCGTTTACCTACTGATTTCTCCAGATAATCAACTATTGTCTAAACTATCGTCAAATAATTTTAAAATCTATACATATATATGTCTATATAAAAATTTCATATCAGCATTTAATGCGGGAATCTGTTCAGCTTCAAATTTACTTAGAAGAATTTCGAATTCTAGCTTGAATGCTTCTTTAGTCGGACTTAGTGGAATGTTCAAATCAAAATTCAATTCTATTTTTGAAATGAATGTTATATTTAGGATAGTTGACTGGTGAATCAAAACAAAAAGTGGTCGTGCATTTTTACTAGAGTTAGAGCTAATAAACGAACAAACATATTTTGAGGAAAAGAAAATTTTAGTAGGAACTCTCTTGTCTGAAGAATCATCTATAAGATATGTCTTTTAGATTTTAACAATACTGTATGAATTTGAAGTCGTCTAAATGAAAATGTAAACAGGGAATGAATCTTTAAGAATAACTAAAATAACTTAGCCTACATATTATACATAACAATTAACTTAGCAGAACTTCACAGTTCAAAGATACACGCTCTTTTATTCTACTAAGCTGCGTCACTAACAAATGAAGTTATCAATACAAAAATGAAATATAACCTTATTTACACAATTCACCAATACACAATTGTAAATGTAATGTTAATTTTAAAATTGACGTTGAATTTTGACTTGAAGGTTCCGCTCAATTCGATATCGAATTCGATATTTTTCTAGACCATTTAGAGATTGTATGAATTCTGAGATTAAATGCTAACATATGTATATACGCATGAGGTAATGTGTTCTCAACTTGGTTGTAGCTTTTTAACAAGACAAATCTGTAACATTTTCAAGTGTACATATCTTACATTTAACTCATGTTAATGATCTATGTTAAAATATTGTATATGTATTGTCGTTCATTGTCTAATCATAAGTCAAAATTTATAAATAAAATAGATATTGATTATTCAATAGGATATGGGCGACGGATGTGGATATGGTGCCTTCTTTTGTGTACAATTCACACTCATACCCACACCTACAATCCATAAACGATGCTATTATAGCGCTTTTATCTACAACTTGATCAATTATGGATTGAAAGACAGATTTTTTTAAAGATAGATATTAAGAAAAGAACAGGTTTTCGAAGGTTCATTAATTTTTGATGAATCGAACTTGCGTTCAACTGATCTTCCATCAGCATAGGCAATCGGACAAGGTTGTTGTAGGTGTGGGTGGATGTGGATGTGCGTGTGGGTTCTAATCCTTCCTTTATTTACACCCATACCCATACTCACCCACATCTCACACCCACACCCATCTATATATAGGAAACATTTTTCAAATAAAATCAGACGCTGATTATCATTTAGTCGAAACAAGCCTCCTGTTAACAGTTTTAGATCAAACAAAATGTCAAGTCGTTGGTAATTCGGGTAATGAACAAATATGCTGGTACATGTACAATCTTTAAAAAAGTCGGAATGTGTACAAACTTTTGAAGAGTTTATATGATAGATAATCATGTCTGATCTGAAAAAAAACTTTTAATGTCGTTCTCATAAGAATGAAAAATTATAACGCTGAAAAAGAAAAGTTCAGACTGTGCAAAACCATGGCGATGTTATATAGGTTCTTAAATCGGGCTAGTTTTGCTACTAATCACCTGCCGTCATTGTTCCAATGAAGTTGTTTTGTTCAATTGATCATCCTTTAATTTATTTTCTATTTCATCGATATACTGTTTCATTTGTTTAATTATTTCGTGTTCTGGAACGTAGATGGCTTCATAGATTTGAATCGCTCTTTTGAAATAGTCGAGTGCCTACGAGTAGTTATCCATATGAAAATAAATTTTACCCAGCCACATTAGTGAAAGTTCGAAATTCGGATGCTGAGATGATCGAAGCTGTATTTGAATATCCAATGCTTTGTTTCGATGTTTTAATGCCTCATTGCATGTACCTAGATTGTAGTGTAAATTACTAATATGTTCCAAACAGTCGGCTGTAGCTTTAAGTTCAGATGGCATACAATTCTCAAATATTGTTAATGCTTCATGGTAGAATACAAGTGCTTGAGTACTACCATTTTCACTATATATATATCACCAATGGTTTCTAGTGTATGTCCGATTCGTGGATGATTTTCTGGTAGATCTGCTCGTTGTCGTCCTAACATGTTGTTACAAAAATCCATAGCTTTCTCATACTGACCATTTCTTTTATATATACCAACAATTCTGTTGACATCTTTGGTGAGATAAGTATGTTCACTAGGTAGTACTTTTTCATTCATTTCATACGTTTGATGGTAAAACTCAAGTGCACGATCAAAACTGAGTTGATTTTCGTATACCAAACCAATATTACTTAGACATCAAATAGTCTTTCTTTCCTAGAAACACTCTACTGATATTCATAATCGTCTTTGCTTTATTCAAATGATCACTCGGATAATTTTTCTCATAAATAGCCATTGTTTGTTTGAAGTAATCTAAAGCTAGATCATAATTCTGTTTATCCTCATAAATTAGACCTATACTGTTTAATGTGGTGGTAAAAAGAAGATGATCAGACGTTAGACTTTGACAACATAAATCATATACTTTTGTATAATAGTCTAATGCTATATTTAACTCATCTTTCTGTAAAAATATATTTCCCATTTGATTATACATAGATGGCATATCTTCATGATTGTATGGTAGTGATTCGACTAAGGTCTTAAAATACTTCTCTGCCTTGTCGTACTCTCCCATATTTCGCCAAAGAAGATCGTCGAAGAGAACAGTTGGACTACACTCTGTCTCCATTTATTTTTGTATTAACTTTAAATACTCACTTTTTTGTTTCGATCCTTCATCAGTTGCTTTTAGATAAATTTTCCATACATTTATATCCGAATTATATTTCACATGTGTAATAATAAATACGGCTCCTAAGCTAAACAAAACTTCTCTCTCTTCAGGCATTCGACTGTATGTATGAATGTCAGCAAAAATAACGGAATCAAGTTGAGAATCAACAGTAATTTCAAATAAAACAGCTATTTTTTCAGCTGTACTTTCACAGCCGGCAATAAAGCCTAAAACGATATTGAGATATCTTGAAGTTGAAAAAAATCCATTTGGTGATATTAAATTACCAACATTGCGTTTAACTTTTTCAAATTCTTCTGTTGGCATTTCCTGTCCATGGTATAGCGTTAGTGGTTGTGTAGAAAAAAGCCTTTTATGTTCTTGTTTCAATTGCGAACACAAATCGACAATATAGAATCGGAAGAGATAAAGAAGGTCAATATCTTCTGTTCTCAATGCTTTATTAGTTAATCGAAAAACCAATGAATCAGTTGTGTACCACTCAGCAGTCTTGTCCATAGTGTATGTCATGCGGAATTCTTCAATTTTTCTCAATTCAGTAGAATTCGACTGGTAATAAGCTGAACATTTTTCAAGCATATCATGAAGAGCTTGATCAATTCGTGGAATTTGTCTTAAGATATTCAATAACAGTTGAAACCATAGAAATCCGACAGACTCTGTTGAAATGTTTCTGATAGATTTTTGTCTTTTACTATCAAAACAGCTGTATTCCATAGTCTGTTTTGTTATGAGATCAATTCTAGTTTTAATTGCTTTTAACAATCCTTCTTTGTTAGTAACTATTTGAATAGTTTTGTTACATTGATCCCATTTAAGGGAGGACATATAACACCGATCATCGGCATAGAGCAAGAATATTGAATCAATTGATAAAAGTGAGTAGACTTCAGGTAAAATTTGTTTTTCGAATACATCTGATATGACAAGAAGTACTTTTTCATTTTTGATAGATCGAATAAAGTCGAGACATAACTGTGGATCAGTATAAAACTGAATGTAATTAATCGATTTTCTCAATAATTTTTGTGTATCTTGTAAATTGGAGAGATCATTAATATTCTGATCACACCAAATCAATGATACATTTTCGAGATTTCGCTCGACATCATATGAAGAGCGGTTCAGCTGGTTATATTTGTCATTGTATAGTTTAACTACAAGTTGAGTTAATACAAAAAATGAAAACATGGCTGTTTAGAGTCGCTACTTACATTTTTATCTTAGTTGTCTAATGGTGGATTAGAGAGAAAATAAGATCAATAGAATCAAAGAATTTGGATAACGATTAAAAATTTTGTTCTAGTAGAAAAAAAAACTCAAAACATATTTTTTTTGTGTGTTGGTGTCATTATCCTTGAACAACAGTGGGGCTTATATAGGCATTTGCATTTTGTTACTTCCTAGTAACATATTTGCAGAAACCTTTCCAGTAGGTATTGTGGGAACACTAACATATTTGTTAAAGATTAGAAGAAAGAAAGCAAAGAGAAGAAAAATAAATAAATGAATATTACACCGTTTTTTCTCCTCTTTAACTGCGCATATAATTTGTCCTTATATATAGTTATACAGGTTGATTACGTTATTTTTAATAATTTTGTATAGTTTGCAGTATTTCGATAAAAAATCGAAGGAGTCTTTAATTTTTACAGTTGGATAAAGCATCGATTATTCTACCAAACCATATAGTTTCCATTTTTTTCTTTAGTTCTAGTCCAAGAAAATTGATAAACACCAAAAAGTAGCCAAAAAAGGTTTTTAAAGATTACGTTGGTTAAGAAAAATACTAAGCTTTTCAATAAAATTAGCTTTTTTCATTATTTACATTACCTCTGATGTTTTTAACTACGTTCATTGAATGCAGTTTCTCATGACGCATCCAGTGATTGTATTTTGAAACGTCTGAGGTAGTGTAAATAGTGAAAAAAGCTAATGTTATTGAAAGACTTCGTATTTTTCTTTCAAATAAAAAACATGAATTCTTTGAACATTTTTTAAGATTTTTCAAGTAGTTCCTGAATATTTTATCTAAAAAAAACGGCTTACAATTTTTTAATGTATACAGACTTGCTGAGTGCGACGGGCTCTATCAAACCATGTAAAAATATCCGGAACAAAAACTTTTTGCTACTGTTCAGTTATAGAGAACTTAACTTTGTACACCAAAAAAGTACCAAAACTTTTAGCAAGTGCTTTAGCTCCACATTAAAAAATCTGCATGACCCTTAATATTTAGTACTAATAAACCCCATTTTTGACGGGCTTTCATCTGGTATAGAATTTATTATGAGGTGTGGGTGTGAGTAAAGGGAGGACTAGAACCCACACCCTTCTGTTTTGTATTATTGAATCAATTAGTATGGATAAAAAAAGGATACTAAGATAATAGGATTAATTAGTATTAAATAAATAAGTATAATTGATAGATAGACGAGAAGAAATAAGACGAAGTAGACCAAATATAAATATATACACAAGATAAGAGTGCATACAAATTATTCTGACAATTTTTAAAGTAAAAACATGTCTCTAATCAAGTCAATTAAAGGACGTGATGAACTTCTTCTTGATGGTTATCGTTATCGACGAGATAGATTAGTATGGTGTTGTGTAAAAAACAACTGCAAAGGTCGTGCACGTCACGATGGAATTATGTTTAAAATGTACCAAGATCGTATATGTCAAGCACCAGATCCAAATGAAATTGAAAAAGCTTTATTTAATTATGAAATTAAGAAGAAAGCAGAACAATGTCATGATCCGCCAAGATTAATTGTACACGAAGCACGGCTCAAATTATCTTCAGATGCGGCTATTACTATTCCACAATGCACAGCATTTCAACGTAGAATTCAACGTATTCGACAAGATGAAGATATTCCAACACAACCTAAAACATTTGCCGATATTGTTATTCCACTAAACTTTCAAAATACTGTTACAAATCAAAAATTTGTATTATATGATAATAATGACCATAATCGTCGATTATTAATATTTGCCGGTAAAGAACAATTAGATTTTTTGAATGAATGTGAGAGCTGGCACTGTGATGGTACATTTGCTGTAAGTCTTCAAAATATAATCGAGATTTCCAAATACTTAGTTTTTCATCTTAGGTAACGCCAAAATTATTTGAACCGATGTATTCTATTCATGGTTCAATACGTGGGAAAAAGTTGCCATTAGTTTATTCACTTTTACCAAATAAATTTTAAGAAACATATGAAGAATTATTTACAATCGTTAAACAGCACGTTGAACGTAAACCAAAATATATCTCAATAGATTTTAAAAAAGCCACTGAAAATGCATTTGGTGTTATATATCCTCAGTGTGATATATTTGGTTGCTTCTTCCATTTTAAACAATGCATATGGAGGGAAATTTGTGTAAGTTTATTTTGATCATCATAATTTTCATGGATATTTTTCTCGTGGTATGTTTAACATTTTAATCTTTTTTTTTACAGGAATTACATTTGAAAAAAGAATTTCTTGAAAATGATATTAGTCGTCGTACAATGAAGAATTTAGCAGCATTAGTTTTTATTCCACCGCAAAATGTTATTGAGAAATTTGTTCAATTGAAAAAAAGTGCGTCAGATGTATTAGATGGTAAGATGACGTTTGCATAAGTGTTGAACGAGTTAATCTAAAATTTTTAACTTAAAAAGTATTTTGCGCGTAAGAATCGTGCGCGCAAATGTCGTACAACCAAATAAAAGCCTAATTATTGATAATAATCAAATTGATTGGAATCGAATCAGTTGCATTCGAGACAAAAACCAAAATAGTGAGTATTTTGAACTAAACAAAAGCTGAAAAAAACAAAAAATTTTCGACAGATTCGATCACACTTTTCATTTCATTAATCGATTGAACTGAATTCATCTATAGATCAGAGATACTTCGAAAGATACATAATTTTCCAGGTCTTTATTCGCTAAATATGGAAATTACACTGGATTTTTCAACAAATACCTGTGGTCCGCTCAAATCACATGGAAAATTGTCTTTCGAATTTCGACTTCAAACATTGCATGAACAGAGTTCTCTATGGGATTAATTCATTGAGAAAGTTTTAGCTTTTCTAGTGTTTTTTTTCCTGGAAATGTAAGTATATGAATTAAATATACTTTTACACATGAACGAATTTTGAGGATGTGGGGTGTGGGTGTGGGTGCTTCAGAAGAATATTAAAACCCACACTCACACCCGGGAAAACAAAACTCATATACTTATACAGTTACATGTACTTTACAAACTGAATGTGTTTAAAGTTGTGAAAACAGAACTTTAACTTTGGCCATGCTGAGTCGCCGTTAGCTGGACAAGCTGCAACACTAAACATTCTGCGCGTTTATATTTTTGACATCTGGATGTCTATTATCTCACGCATCAAACTTGATTTGAATATAGCTCGTAGTGACTTGTCTTTCCACTTTTTATTTAATCGGAGAAAGGTATTCAGATTTCGATAAAATATTTGATAGGCAATGGAAAAATGGGTTTCTTTTTGAATCCAACAAATTAAATTATCGATAAACTGTGGCGTCTCCACATTCATGACAATTTTACTATTTGGCAAAAAAAAACAGATTTTGCTGCCATTCGGTCAAAACAATGAGAACACTAAATGCTCTTCATTTCATTTATTTATTTGGATGAAACTGAAAAACAAATACAACAGTTTATTGACAATAAATGAACGAATTAGTACAAAAGCGAAAAAAGAAAAGACGAGACAGACAAAACCATACGTTTGCAAGGAGCAGCGATACCTTGGCATCTAACATCAATACAGTATTATTTAACTAGCTCTTTAATTTCTAGTTATTTCGATTGCTAGAGCTCCTGCAGCCTTTTCATTCTTTTCAGAATAAAATTTTCTGTAAATCTGTACTCCTTCCTCGATTGATCTACAGTTTGGTAATAATTTCATTTCTTTATTTTCGGCTTGAATCATTAATTCAAATGTTGGGTAGTATCTAACAGCTTGTACGGTGGCATTAAATTCATGCGGATTTTCGTTCAATTCTTCTGTGACATCAGTATAGAATTTAATACAATCTCCTGGCCGAAATTCATTGTATGGTGCTCTATTAATTCGACCTTCAATAGTTTTAATTCCACTGTATAAATAGTTATAATAAGGCTGAGCACAATGGATACGAGGAATTGCTGACTCTGAATTAAGAACACCATTGTTAGTTGAAGAAATATTCGAAGGAGTATTGATAGTTGATGTAGCAGATGACTCAGCCATTTACAGTTCGATGAAAATTGTATTATGGATGGGCAATGTTACTTCAATCTGATATCGTCGAGATTGTTAAATAAAAATACAAATCTGAAGCAGAAACAGCGAAACAAAGCACGGTTGGTGGGTCGGCAAATCGGCACTGGTTATTTTTTGTTTTTGTCATTTATCGTAGGACAGATATGGTTTACTGGAATATTTTGTTACCGAAATGAAGCTTATAATGGGGTCTACAATTGTATTCACTACGGCTTCTTTTCTGTAGCTTTGCGTTAAAAAAAGTTCATTACATAACGAGGAATATAACAAACTCTTTTCACTCATAAACTATACGAAGGAAAGCCAGAACTAATATAATTGTAGATCTCATTATAAACTTCATTTCGGTAACAAAACATTCTAGTAAACCATCTCTGTTCTAAAATAAATGACAAAAACGAAAAATACCCAGTGTCGAGTTGCCGATCCTAGTCTGGGCTTTTTCAAGTCGCAAGTCAAATCAAGACACAGAAAAAACTCATGAGTCACGAACAGTTACGAGTCGAGTGAAGTTAAGTGAATCATCAAGCATAATTAGTCTAGCGAAGTCGAGTCATGAGTTCTATGTTGCAACGCTGGATCAAGTCAAGTCAAGTCATGACTCTATTACGAATGAGTTTACAGCAGTCATGATATGTCGAGAGCAAGCCCAGACAGTACATCAGTTTCACAGAAGGAAACATAATACATATATATAGCTAGTTCGATGGTAACACGTGGAAGCTAGGTCAAGAATCTTATGCGAAGAAAAATTTGAATGAATATATGACCGAGCGACCCCGCCAAAGATGCACAACATTTTGTGACTAGAAATTTTCAATTCATAAATCAAGTCGTGTCATTTTACTTGAATTAACTCGACTTGTCCGACTTTGTAGCGAAAATTCTATGCATACCTACAGTTCAAGTAATACTATACTTTAACATTAATGACACCACATATGAATATAAAGTAGCATATGAAACAGTTTAAATTCATTCTACTCAGGAGAATTTATCACAACAAGAATCAGCTTCAATGAAAAATAAAAATGAAAGTTTTATAACACTTTTTTCTCTTATATAGTGTTATAGGCTAAAGCCTTTCACACGTCTTTTCTATTCTTTCCTTTGTTCGTGTTATTGCATTATATTTTCTTTCTCTTTTATTGTAATGGCTTTTTCCCCAGTTTCTTATCATTCTCACCGTTCTATATACACATTATCTTCGCTTTTCTTCTTATTCATGTATTTATTTATTTCTAGCAGAGTATTGTCATTTTGTTTTTTCTTTTTCATTTTTGAATAAAACATCAGCTCAAACTCTAACAATGGAACGGTTTGTATTGATAAGCGAGTTGGACGACCATTTGGGGTGCAAATGGTCACCATCACTGAGAAACTAACAAATCTAAAATATGAGCTGCTGATGGCTACTCTGGACAGAGATATTCAATTTTTAAGTTCTGCATTAATTGAGTATAAAACATGTTACAATATGAAATATTCACATCAGCTTTTAATATAATCATCAGATTTGTTAGGAATTGAGTTTCGAAAATCGAGAGGAGTCTTATTAACACCATTTAGGCTACTCTATATACGATCTCTTATGAATTTTAACAGTCTAGA